CCGGCGCACCTCGCAGCCTCCCTCGCCTGCTCCCAGAAACCCGCCCATGACTTCCTTTCTGTGGCAGAGCCTGGCCCTCAAAGTTGGCCCTCTCCTCCAGGAAGACCCCATTCTGCCTCCTTCCAGCAGCCTGTCCTCTCTGGACCCCCAAGGGCAACACCAAGGTCTGCCTCCTCCCCCCTCTCCTGTACCCCACGTTCCTCCCAGAGACCCTAAGGCTTGCCTCCAGTCAGTACAGCCTAGTTTACCTCCTGCCCATCCCCCACCCCACCCCCAACACCATTCTCCACCCTGGTTGACCCTGTCTAGGGCTCTGAGTCCTCCTTGAGAAAGGAGGTGCTGCCAGCCAGAGCTCAGTCCTCAAGCTGACCCTCCCCTCCTGGACACCCCCTGCTATCCAGCCACTGTCAGAAGGCCTCCTTCCTCAGAGCCACCCTCACCAGACACCACTCCACTCCTTTGCAAACACCCCAGACAGTCACTATAGCTCATAGTAAGAGCATACAGGAGGAATTTAATAAACCGTCTCTTCTGCTAGCTGGTGCTTCTTCCTGCCGCTGAGCCTGTGGCTTCCCAAACTGCCCGCACCCCCACTTGAGTCATCCCGCTGCTTCTTCACCTGTTACCCGCTCCCCACCCTGCCATCCACAGAGCCCCTCTCTCAGGCTGCTGGGGACGTCGCTGGGAACCTCTCATCACTCCAGGGCCAGGCCACCCTTGTCCCCAGGAACCCGTGATGGGAAGATCCTGCTCCCTCCTCAAGCTCAGCCCCTCTCTTGACCTCTCTGCCCTGGTACCTTCCTGGGCTGCTCTGTTCTACACCTGCCAGGGGCTCAGCTCAGTTCCACTGGTGAACAAATGACTGACTGAATGAGTCGACAGTGAACTCATCTGCTCTTCCAGAAGCCTCCGACCACCCCCTTAGGGGATCCTCCTGAAGTCCTTCAGGCTGTCCTGTTGGTTAAGCTCCAGGAGCCCATTTCGAGCTGGTGCCTCCCCTTGGCTGCCTTGTTATGGCCCAGGCTCACCATGCTTCCCAGCTTCCCACATTCCCCTCTGGCAGCCCTCACCTTTCTATTGCCTGGAACTAACTCCCTCGGAGACTCAGACTCTTCCTTGTCTCTCATCCCATCTGTCTCCAGGGCTATCTGGCCACGCCCACGGCCCCCTGCACTTCTGCTTCTAATGGTGCACTAATGGTCAGCTCAGCAAATCACTGCTCCCCAGCTGTCCCTCTGTATCCACCCATCTCCCCAACACACAGAGAACCAGATCTTGTTCCTCTTTGGAAGCCGCCCCTCCCCTCCAGGCCAGTCCAGCACTGGGTGCCCAGTAGGCAGTCAGTCAACTCAAGCTCCAAGCACTGACAGAGGGGGCCGATCCTCCCTGTCCAGAGGGGCTGTCCTGGTCCCACCGGCCACCACTCTGGCCAGGCTCCTGAGTAGGACCCCTACTCACTCTGAGCCAGCAGCTTGGCCACCATGTCCTGACTGCCTGCCTGGGCCTCCTGCGTCTTGCTTGCCAGGCGGCGGTTTGCAGATTCCAATCTTTCTGTTTCAAAAGAAGAAAAGACGTTTCAAGGAAAAATGTTTGAGGACAGGTGAAGCTGCCTGCCTGGGCTGGGGTCCCCTGGGGTCCTATCTGTCGGGCTGCATCCTCCAAGCTGGGGTTGGGCTCACAGGGAAGCCCCAGGTCTCATAGGGGTCTCATGAGGAGGTAGCACCCCGGGCCACGTGGCTGAGCGCCCCATGAGGGACCCCAAGGTCTAGACTACAGAGATAAGCATCTCTCAGTCAAGACGGCCCCTTTTGAGTTGATTTATACTATTTTTGCAGAGGACAGAGATTCTGAATTACTCCCTAGAATAGAGGAATCAAGCCATCCCCAGGCGTTCCCCACCCCCACCCCGACCTGGGTGACTGGCCCTCACCTCTCAGATCCCGGTTGAAGTCCTGCAGCCTCCTCATCTCACTGTCCATCTTGTTCCGCATAGTCTTCTCCAGGGCCTCTCGCTTGGAAGAGGCCCTCATCAGACTCTCGTGGGCCTCAGAGAGCCGCTGGATTTCGCTCTCCAGCTGCAAGAGGTAGACAACAGAGCTGAAGGGGCAAGCTCCCGGGGACGGAGTGGCGTCAAGTTCCCCTCCAGACCTGACCTGCTACTCTCCATTAGAAAGAGAGAGAGGGGAGAGGATAAAAGCCATAGCAAAAAATCCAGCTAGCTCAAGCGGGACAGTCAGCAGGCTGCAGCTCCTGGAGGTGGCCCAGACTGCTGGAATAGGCAAGCCAGGGTCCCTTCAAAGTGAGCTCAAGGCCAGGTTCTCTGGAAGTGGCTGCCTCCAGGGTGACTAAGCACAGCTTTCCTGAGCCCGACATCCAGAGAGATGTATTTTCTTTTTGTCCAGCTTCTATTGAGAAATCTGAGCCCAGCGGGCCAGGAGTGGGCACTCAGACTCCAAGCAGGGGCTGGGGGCGGTTGACCTATCCTGTACACCACAAGACGGCCATGGGAGGCCTAAGGCCACCTGCTAAGGCTGGTAAAACTTCACTGCAGAGGGGAGGACCAGACCCCATCCTGAGCCGCCTCTGCCTGGAGTATCTGCTTCTCGGGCCATCGCTGTCCACCCCGGAGGGCCAGCCTGCCCCGCCTGCCCCTCCCACTTGGCGGCTGGCAGGCCCCGCACGTGCTCCTAGCTGGCCCGCGATTCCAATAAGTCGCTAGTTTTTTCCAAGAGGAGAGGCTTTCTCTTTGGCCAAGGCTGGCCTGGAACAGACTTGCTGTTGTGTGGGGGACACAAAGGGCTCTCTGTGGGAGGTGGCCCTGGCAGGGGGTGTGTGCAGGGGAAGGGTGCGAGTGTGAGGGAGCTGGTGAATGGGCTCTTTCTCATCGCCCCTGGGCAGCAACTGCTCGTGCTCCAGGCCCGCTCTGCCGGCTGCTCCCCAGCTGTCTGAAGTCAGCCAGGCGGGTGCATGAGGGACGGGTGTGGGGGCCCCAGGGACGGGGTCAGAAGCCCAGCCAGACAAGCTTTCAGACTCCTCTGCCTCTCCTGCCTCCCTTTGGATGGTCCCCTCCCAGGTCAGCCCCTTGGGGTGCCTTCCTCCCCCCAGCCGGTCCCCCTGAGGCCCCAGCAGGACCTACCTTCTCGATGCGCCCGGCCTTCTCAGCCGAGCTCCCCAGCTCTCTCTGCAGCCTCTCGTTGTCCCTCTGCAGCCTGGCGTTCTCCCTCAGCACGGTCTCCATCTGGGCCAGGTGGGCGCTGCCCGAGGTGGCCAAGGGGGCCTGGGTGCTTGCTGGGCCCTCCACCCCAGGTGGGCCGAGGGGGCCCAGCGGGCCGTGGCTGAGGGCAGCAGGGTGTGGGGGTGGGAGGTGCTCCTGCGGCTGCTGCAGGTACTGGTACTGGTGCTGCTGCTGCTGGAGGAACATGGGGGGCACCTGGGCCTGCAGGATCCTGGGGAACAGAAGAGACAGTGCTCAGAGACCCTCCTGGCTCCCCCCTCAGAGCCACCCCAGTCCTCCCATGCAGAGTGGACAGACAGCCTCCCCACAGCATTAGGCAGCGAGCAGTGGGGAAGGCCTTTTCCACCTGGTGTCCGCAAGACCCTCAAGGGCCAGGGGAGCGGGGCTGAAGAGGATGAATGTTAGGATGCTTGTTTCTTGCCCAGCCTCACTGTGGCCAAGGCCTTGGGGATCAGCCTGAGCAGTCCTGGCTTCCTAAGGGACAAGTGCTTAGATAACAGATCTTTAAAAATGCTCTCTTGACCCTTCTCATCAATAGAAGGCTCTTTTTGCGTCTGGAGGCCACCATGACTGAACACACAGCCTCCCAGGTCCCTGGGCCACTTGGGAGCTGGGTCCCAGCAGCTACCCCCATGTCTCTTTCCGGCCACCAGTGTCAGGCCCTACGCCCACACCTGCCAGCACTGCACACTCACGTGTTCTCCCTCCTATTTCGGGTCCCATCACCCCTTGAAGAAACATTTTTAGACGACTGTGGCTAAGGTTAGAGCGGCGAGACAGATGTCAGGGTTAGAGTCTGGGCTGCAGAGTCTGACAAAATAGGCATTCAGATCCTGGCTGCAATGTTTAACCTCCCGGTGGCGGTAAGGCTCAGCTCAATCACGAGGGTGTCTCTGGCTGCCTCCAAGGCTACACAGGCAGGGCAGAGTGCTGGGCCTGCCATGGGCACTCCCACAAAGATGGCCCGTCCTCTGTCTCTCCTAGAGGTGACTGCAGCTTACTCGCAGCTCAAAGTGTAAATGTGATCCAAGCACTGGATTTTCTGGGGTGTGGGGGCTTCTCTGGACTCCTGCAATAGCCTGAGCTTAGGGACAACGTCCTACTGGCCTCTGGCCCTGGTGTCACATCACCCTCAGGGCCCTGTGTCTAGGAAAGGAGCAAAGAACAAGAGGCATGTGGGCTCACAAAGACCTTCTGGGGCCTTGTGACTCCAAGAGTCAAAGAATAGACTGCCTCAGTTTCACTAGGAATTTTCCCAAGTCCCAGGAGCCCCATAAAAATTTAATTCCACTTCCGGATCCATCTCCTCAGCACCCATGCCTGTCCTTCCCCTTGTCCCTACCCTTCATCTCTCCCCCTGCAGCCTAAGACTCCCCAGATCTTCTTAGGATCTAGACTAAAAGAACAGCCTTGCCCGCAGGTCCCAGCAAACAAGCCTCATTTGATCAGCCGAAAGAGACTGGGCTGATGTGTTTCTCTTACAGCTTTCCAGTAAGAGTTGAGGGGGGTCCCCATTGGAACGTGCAAACTCTCCCCATGCTCCTAAATAGGGCATCTTGGGGTTGCTTCACGAACTTGCTCCCCCTGCCCCTGGGCCAGGCAGACACAACTGGCATTCTTTGGGGATGACTTAGCTCCAAGAAAGAATAGAGCCTCCTTTCCTTCACCCTTGCTCTCCCTTCCCCTAGTCCTCCCCTCCCCTCCTTCTTTTTTTTGTTCTGCAAACAGGCCACTTCCTTTCCACGATACTATCTTTTCCTGACAGGGCTCAATAAGGCTGGTCCAAGAGAAGCAACCACGACTCAGCTTCCGAAACTCTCCCCGGACCGAGCTCTGAGAGGGGAGATAAGGCAGGGGGGCCTGGGAGGTGGAGGCTGGCGAAAACCCTCAGGCTCCAACCTCTGGTTCCTCCATACCGACGCTGTTGCATCACTCATTTTTCGAGGACAAGGAAAGGCATCTTTCGCCGGAAAAGGCCACACAGTGGGAAACTGGGTGACTATGTGAAGACTCAGCAGGCGTGAAGAGAACCAGACTTGGAACTTGGGCCACCAGAAGAAGGGAGTCTGCAAGTCCTCAGGTTTCCCTGGTAGGGTTTCCTGGACCCCCATGGCGGAGATGCAGGGCGTGGGAAACGAAGGGTGTGTGTCAGCTTTTCAGGGGAAGGTGCTGGGCCCAGTGAGAGCGTCATTTCTAGGAAACCCATTTCTGCAAACTATCTGGGCTTCCTGCCTCTCTCTGGCAGCCTGGCTTCCATTCTTGTCCCTAGAATCCATTTTCTACATGCAGCAGAAGGGCCTGTTTCAAAAGATAAGCCAAATACCATACTCTAAAGGTCTCCCTTCACGCTCAGAATCAAATTCTTAAGTTCCCCCAGCAGCCTCTCCGGAGCCTCCACAGAAAGGATCTCGCCTGGACCCAGAATCCTCTCCTACTCCAAGCTCTGGCCACATGGGCCACACAGAAAAACATGAAAGGCAATGAATGGGAGGGACAGGGCAGTCCGACCCGGGTGTAGGACGGGAGAGGTCTCTAAGGAGGCTCTCTGGTCCTTCCTGCCTCCAGTTCAGAGTGCCTCCAATAATCCCCAAAAGCAAACATGTCTACTTGTTTTTAAAAACCTCCAGAGGAGGGCCCACCTTCTCCCCACTTAACATGGAAACAGTTTGGCAGTGATTTCCAACCCTTGTCTTTGCAAGTTCTTTCTGAAACCTAATCTTTCACCTCCTGCTGTAATTCATAGCCTCTAAGAACCCCAGCTACTGGACTGCTACAGCCAATCAGACAATGGTGTCCATCTCTGAACTAAAGCAAAGGATGCTGCCGAGTTCTCACATGTGACCCTGGCTAAATCCCCTTCTCCTCCAGCATTGGCTCCCATCCTGGGAGGGAGAGGGTAGCACCAGCCTTCCTCTGGGGCTCTCCACCCAGGGAGGACTATACTGGAAGGAAGCCAAAGGCTTGAAAGATGGAGGTGGGAAGTTACCTGACTTCAGCATGCTGGAAGTGTGGGCTGCCACGGGCGCGGTACCGCGGGTCAGGGACGGCAGAGGCGGTCTCATGAGCCAGCATGACGTGGGGATACTGAGGTGGAGGGCCGCGGGGCTCTGGGCCCTCGGCAGGGGCGGCCCTGGGCGGGGGGCCCTGCTGGTTGCGGGCCAGCTGGGGGAAGCTGTGGGAGGAGCTTATGTGGCTGGGGGTGCGCGCCCCATTCCTCTCCAGGGACAGCTGCAGGAGCCGTTCACTCAGGGAGCGCACGTGCCCGTGCCTCAGCTCTCGCAGCGCCTCATCCTGCCTCCGACCACCTCCCGGGGCCCCGCGGGGATCCCGGTCCCCAGTATGTGGCCGGGGCCCCGCCTGCTGGGCTGCGTAGTACTGCGAGTGGGCTTTGGCCTCCTCGTAGGTGGGCAGCTCCTCGCCCTTGCTGGGCTGTGGGCACAGCCGGTAGAGGTTGTTCTCTGCCAGATGGGCCTCGGTGCCCTGGTGCTCCTGGCCCTGGGGCTCCTGCCTGGTGGCCTGCTGCAGCACCTGGCTGTCCTCAGGTGCCACGATCTCCAGGGGCGCTTGGGGGTTCCCTGTGCCCCCAGCCCCGGCCCCACCCCGTAGGGCCTGCTGCTGGATGGCCAGCAGGGTGCGTGTCTCAGTCAGGTTGCCATAGCGCAGCTGCTCCTGGATGAGGCGGTGCAGGACTGTCCCCGAGGAGTCTTCCAGCGTCCTCATGTTCCCTGGCCTTGCACGCACCCGTCTGGACAAAGGCCAGCAGCACCCAGCCCCAGAGCACCTGGGAAGAGAGAATGAAGAGCAATCAGTGAGAGCACATGGAAAGGAGGGGGACTTTCTATGACTTTCCATGACAGTCTGGTCCAAAGCACAATGGTAAAGAGCAAGGCTGTGGAGGGGTACACAAGCCAACTGATTCAATTGCCAATGCTGACAAGTATAGATTAAGGCAAACTCCCTAACTTCAGAGCCTCAGTTTCTCCAACAGAAATATGGAAGGAATAATGCTTGCCTTGTGGAGTTGAGAATTAAAAGAGGCAATGGTTGTTGAGCTCCCGGGGCACCATAAATCCTTGGCAAAGCACTGCCATTATAATCATACTCGTGGAGATTTACTGTGCCTAGAGAAAGACTCCAGTAATCTAGAAGGTAATCAACCAGGAACCACAGCCCCCTGCAGTCAGCTTCCCATCAAAGAGCCAGATAAGAGACTCCAGGGCAGGTCTAGCTCAGATTTAACCACTGAGATGTCCAGTCCAGGGGTGGACAGGGCCCCAGTTTATTGGCAGGTGATAAAGAATGAGTCCAGCCCAGCAGAAGCCCTAGGCAAACAGCCCCCAGGATGCTCTAGGGTGAAGCACGTCTGAGCCCCAGCCCGTGCACAGCTAACTCCCCATGAGCCCTCCTGTCATGGGATGACCTTGGTAGTCACTCTGCAAGGTGAACAGGAAGAAGGAGAAAATGCATCTGGATCGGTGAATAAAGGATAAAAGAAGAGTGACTACAATAGGACAATGGTTTTGTGAGGCAAGGCAAAAAGGTGCCACCCATTAAAGTTTGTGGGCCAGTCACACAATCTGTGTGTTGACAGTAACCACATAGGTGCTCCAGGAAAAAGAGAATGTGGCCCAATGTCTTCGGTTTTATGATTACCACCCCCAGCCATGCACACACTTGCTCCTTGGAAGTGCCCTGATGATCCTCTAGGCACCCAGGGGATCTTGACATGAGTAACATCCACTTAAGTCAAATGAAGGTGTAAGGGAGTAAGGCGGAGGCTCTTGGTTGCAGCGATCTGGGGCTGGGGGCTGGGGGCTCTGAGCCTAAGAGGCAGGGAGAGAACCCCTGAAGAAGGTGTTCCCTTCTGAGCCTGGGCTCCCAGTGGCTCATGGCCTGGAAGTTTGCCCGCCTCACCCGGCTTCCTTTCCATAGCCTCCTCCAACACAAACCTCCAAACTGGGATTCAGGGAAGACCAAACAAAACCCACACCTCCACAGGTCCTGTGTGCGGGAGGACAGTGGCTGGAATGCAGCCCCTCCTCTGCCACAAAATTAGCCCTAGTGCCCGGCTCCAGTTAGGGTCTGGCTGGTTGGCAGAGCAGCCATTCCCAACGCACTCCCTCCTCCCAGCTGCCCAGAACTGGGGAGGCGATGAGTCTGGAGGGCATCTCAGTACCCATCCTTTACCGCACCCCATCATGACCCTCCCCCCCCCCACACACACACAAGGAGGGGAGATGCAAGACTCTAGAACTACCAGAGGCAAAACAAATAGGGGATCAATTCACCCTAGCTTTTCATCCACAGGGCATTTCCTAAATTAATCACTGTCTGGGCTCACTCCGGCTGGGGAGGACCAGGAATGCAGCTTTCCGGACACATTCCAATCCCCCTCCCCCCAACAGTGTGCCTGGGAGCAAGGAACACCTCCTCGACCTCTCATCCCGCGTGCGTCCGGGTCAAGCCGGTCAGATGCACGTTCTTTCAGCTGAGCCGTTACAAAAAATCTGTGCCGCGGAACCCGGTGATGCACACCTGCTGCCCTAGCGCGCCCGTCTCTCTGAACAACCCCTACCCCATCACCACCTCTTCTAAGCAAGTACACAACTCCTGCCTTTGCCTGGGCTCACGCTCGCCTAAGGAAGCAAAGCGAGGGTCTCTTATGTCAGATCACACCCGAGCCAGGGATCCCGCCCTACCCGGCCTCCAGGCTGACCACGAGCACCCGGTGCCCGCCGCTGCGCCTGGAGCGGGTGGACGAGGATAGCCCGCGGTCCGGAGAGGTCTTTAAGCGTCGTGGGTCCGCCTCCCACCCTCCCTCCCGAGCCCTCTTTGTTTTCCAAATGCTCCAGCGCTGACGTCACCGGTCTGGACGGCAGGCTGCATTCTTTCTAAGTGAGAGCCAGACCGTGGCTCCAGAGAGGATTTTCCAAGGAAGACAAAGAGGAATTCTTGGGCTAGCTGGGGGGCAAAGACACCTGTAACCCCCACCCAACCAAATCAGCCCCCAGGGCCCTGCAACTTGAGGTCCAAGCCGCGCCTCCTGGTCAGTTTCGCGTCCCTCTCTCCCGGACTCACGACCCCAAACACCCACTCCGCTCTCCCCAAGGCTGCCCCCTCTTCCAGCCACAGCGGCTTCGCGCGCCTTCGAGAGACCCTAGGCGCCCGGCGCGGCGCCCCCAGCTGAAGCGGCCCTTCCCGCTTCGCGGCTGCGGGAAAAGGCGCGCTGCGCCTGGAGGACGTTCGGTCGTCCGGGTTCGCGCTCCCGGAAAAGGCCGGGCTGCGCCGAAGCTGGGGCTTCGGCCGGGGCGCGGCT